CCTCCAACAGACTTCTTGTCCTTATTCCTCCCTTCCCCAGCCTTATTTATTTATTTATTTATTTATTTATTTATTTACTAGCTTGGGGATCCAGCAGTGCTCGGGTTATTTAAAAAAGACATTTATATCCCACTCTTCTTACCCTGAAGGGGGCTCATGGCAGCTCACAAAACAGGCACAGTTCGATGCCATTTGTACATACACCAGTTAATACAACATATACATTAAAACCAATAATTAAAGCACATCAAACTTAAAACAGTTAATTAAAATGACACAATCCAAACGCGTAGTCCAGGAACCATTCCAGTTGTCAATTGCATTATTCCATAAACACTTTTTGCACTGACCTAATTTCAGTGGGGAGGGAGTTCCATAGCCGAGGGTCCACCACTGAGAAGGCCCTGTCTCTCATCCTCACCAAACGCGACTGCGGTGGGACGAGAGCAGGGCCTCCCCTGATGATCTTAACCTCCGAGATGGTTCATAGAAAGAGATACGTTTGGACAGGTAAGCTGAACTGGAACCGTTTAGGGCTTTATAGGCTAAAGCCAGCACTTTGAATTGTGCTTGGTAGCAGACTGGCAGCCAGTGGAGCTGGCGCAACATGGGGGTTGTGTGCTCCCTGTATTCCATTCCAGTAAGAAACCTAGCTACTGCCCGTTGGACTACTTGAAGCTTTTGAACAGTCTTCAAAGGCAACCCCTTGTCATTTATTTGGAGATGGTCAAGGGAATCTCCCTTGCTTGACTGCTGGTCTCCCTGCTGCTTTACTTGTCTGCTTCTGGTATGCATCCCACTTTAAATCCTGTAGCTACCCCTCCTGTAGAATTCTGGGATTTGTGGTTTAGGGAGGGACCTTTAACATTCTCAGCTAGAGAGGTCCTGCAGAAGGCAATCACATGAATTAAAGTGATATGCACACTCTATACCTACTGATGAGGTCCCTAGTCTTCTTTATAAAAGAAAAAGTGGTGGCAGAAGCAGGAGGGGGGAGTGCCCATTGCAACCCCAGATTCAGTTAACAGGATCCCAGGTTTAAGATACCTTTCTAGGAATTGACTAAATCCTCCAGGGCAACTCTATGATAATTTCCAACAGACGTTGTTCATTTCAGTAAAGTTTGATATTTTCCATAATTTCCTGTTCCAGTGGTAAGTTCTGAAACATATCCCCCATGAATATAGGGTTATACTGTATAACAAACTATATGAAAATCCTGCTTTCTTAACTTCTTCCCCAAGGAGTTAAAATATTGTGTGTGTGTGTGTGTGTGTGTGTGTGTGTGTGTGTGTTTGCATATCTAATGCTGATAGTTCTTAGGGCTGTTTTTAGATGTCTGCAAAAGCCATATATTGGAACTCAAGCACATGTGTTTGTAATACTCTGAAAAAGAACAAGGATGTGTGGTTTGGACACAGTTGACAAATATTATTGCCGTTTCCTCCAATTACTGATCCTCCATGCTCAGTACTCAGTACCCACTAACTAGGTAATTTGAAACTGAGTGAAAGTGTGTTCATTAAGGTACAATTTCTCCTCTAAAAACAAAAGTGTGTAGAAACAGAATTTTATGCATACATTTGACTTCTGTTATCTTATCCATGAGACAGTGAAAAATAACACAAGATGGCCTGGTGTGATACACTGATTAAAATGAACATTACTTATTGCCTTCTGAAATTATCCTGCTGGAGGAAAAGGATATCAGAGCCATTAATGGAACAACTGTCCAGCAATTAGAGTTCCCTCCCTCCCATTTCCAAATAGTCTTTATCTCCATGAAAATGTTGCCTTACAGCCCATCTATTAGGTTCAAAATACTTTTATCAAGAAACTCCTCTCTCTCTCTCTCTCTCTCTCTCTCTCTCTCTCTCTCTCTCTATATATATATATATATATATATATATATATATATTCAAAAGCTATGTCTGAGGCATCAACATAGGAAGCTTTTAAAATCTTCCATTATTTGCTATCTTTATAATCCTATTTCATAGCAATCTTAGACCCAACAGCATGTCTTTGTGTTTATGTTTCTAAAAGTGGGTGTAAATTGCACATTTAAATTGACAGAGGGATCTCATAGCAGATGAAATCAGTTCTTATACTTGTTTCATTAAAGCCATCATAATCAAGCCACTGTTACACAGGTGTATGAACTTAGATAATGCAAGCCCTATTTTAAGTTGGATGGGTTAAAACAAGTCGTTTGTTGATACAAATCCTTTTGACAAATAGGGATAAAGAAGACCTACTTTGCATGATTCATATAAATGGAAACAAAACAATGTTACCCAAATTTAAGTTCAACATCAAATTACATTTCAGTGTACTTTTGTTTTTTAATTGCTATCAAGTCAAATTTGACTTATGGTGGTCTTATGAATGAAAAAAATTCAGCAGCCCTGCCTAGATCTTGCAGACTCAGAGCTATGGCTTCATTGGTTGTGTCTATCCATCTGGATAATGGTCATCTCCTTTTTCTGTTGCCCTTTACCTTATCAAACATTATTGTCTTTTCTAGTAAGTGATGTTTTCTTATGATATGACAAGTCTCCGTTTAGTCATCTTGGCATGACTAAAAAAAATTCAGCAGCCCTGCCTAGATCTTGCAGGCTCAGAGCTATGGCTTCATTGGTTGTGTCTTGGATTCTTCTAGGATGATTTTATCTTTTTTTGCTTTCACATATAAGGAAAGTCATGCTAAAAATTCTATAAGAAAGACTTTTATTATATTTGCACTGAGAAATTCCAGATGTCAACACTAGGTTCAAGAGTGGAAGAGGAAGTAGGTATCATAGTGTAAACATATATTGCATAATGGCACAAACCAAAGAATTTTAAAAGAAACTCAGTCTGTATTTTATAGATTATAGCATAGCCTTTGTGTATGTAATAAAAATTATGAATTTCTCTTAAAGAAATGAGTGTGCTACAACACTGCATTGTCTTGATGCATAGCTCAGGCTTTACTAAATCAGTAGACATTGTAGAAAACTCAGAATGTTTATGTTCATTATGTTCAGATGAGTATTAACATTGCTTTCTTCGCAGTCATCTGGTGTGAAGTCTAGTTGCCACTATAATGTGTACAGATATGAACCTAGTTATGTCAGGTCTTAGCCGTTGGTTATATCTTCACACTGGAATGTGTAACTATTCCATTAATTCTAGCTTAGTTTTCATGGCAGCATGAGCCTGAAGAATGGCTTTGTGGAACAATAAAGTAAAATAATTTCAATTTGCAACAGATTTTGAATTGTAATACAGTTTAGCATCAGGAATACACAGTGTGCAACTCTGGGGCTCACATTTTTTTATGTGGATCTGAAAGGCAGAGGGACTCCTATTTTTCCTCATAGTGAAGCCAAAATGTTGTGTAGTCATGCTCTAGAGGTCATCAAACTTTTCTGAGGAATATCCATTTTCTGTCATTACAACCTTGGCTGCCATTGCATACCTTTTGTGTAAACAATGATCCACACATTTGTCAGTAAATGATGCTTTGCAAAATAGTAATGATTAACAGTGAAATAATAGTTGCAAAGTTCAAGATACAGAGAAAACCATCTTTGCTAGTCAAAGGGCCAATGGAACCAGAAACAGACAAAACCTTTGGACAGCCTAAAATATCTTTTGTTATGATTAGTGTTGATAAGAGTTTTTTTTTTATTGGTGAAGCTATCTGCTGAGAGACAAGTTGGCAGAATTCAGATTTTCCTTAGCATTTTCTATAATAAGCTGCCTGTCATGGGAAATGCTGACTCTTAAATTATTGGGTTGTTGTAGGTTTTTCAGGTTGTATGGCCATATTCTAGAAGCATTCTCTCCTGACATTTCACCTGCATCTTCGGCAAGCATCCTCAGAGGTTGTGAGGTCTTAAATTATTGTTCCTCTATCACTTGTTTAGCTTTCATCGTCATGTCTGAGCACAGCAATGTTGTTCTGAATTGCATATAATTATGTGTACATACATGTCAGGGAGTCCCAGAGTTACAAACATTGACTTACACATGACTCATAGCTAAGAACAGGGGCAAGACAACAGAAAGTGAAAGAAATCTACCCCTAGGAAGGGAAATTCACTCCACTCCTGGAAGAGTTATCATGGGGAAAAGGGATCTCCACTGAAACTTTTATCACCAATCCTTGTTTCCACAACAAGCCATTTTTTTCAAAATCCAGTGATCACAGGGACAGAAAGTGAGACAAAATCTTCTGAACAGGGGGACAGACAGCAAAACAAACACTGCAGAAGTATGCAGCTTTCCCTATGCTATTCAAAGTGTTCTCTCCCCCCACCCCCTATATATGTCGAGTTACACTTTTAAAATGTACCTGTTTCGACTTACAAATAAATTCAACTTAAGAACAAACCTAAAGAACCTATCTTGTTCTTAACTTGGGACCTGCCTGTATAAGGATCTTATAAACCTAATAGTAAACACATGGCTTCTAGATGTCAATTTTGTCTGAACGCACATTTGAATTTTTGGTCATATTATTTTCCAGGGTGTTTTTTTTCTCTGCTATATTTTATCACCTGTTTGCTTACTTTTAATTTTCACAAATACTTTTCATTTTGTTCTTTCCCCCTATATTTTCTGAATAACTAAAATTAGATGGAAAAAGTATGAAATGTGCCATACCTTTTTACACAAAGTAAGTACTGCTATGTTCTCTGCTACTCATTGTTAGCAATACAGGTAAAATCTTAATATTATTTGGAACCCAGTTAGATGTACATGCAGACGTTAATGAGACTCTCATGTAACATGGATGCTTCACTTTCAATAGAATCCACTTTGTTAAATTGCCTTCACACTTGGGTAATTGTGTGTCTATCTCCTGCTTTAAGTGCCCAGGGCCAGCATGAATTCTTTTAAGGGACAATTTAAGAGCAAATCTGTAAATAGTTCTTGTGCTCTCTATTTCTCAAACTTCTTCTCAACAATTTCCCAGTAGCCCAGCAGAAGGCTCTGTGCTACCAGTAACAACTGATTTAAGCTTGCCAACGGCAGGTTTATCTTCTGTTTGCCTGGTGGAAATGCTAGCTATTAATTTACCTTACTTCCCTAGCAGCTTTCAAATGCTGTAGCAAACATTAGAAAAGGATGTTTGCTATAGATTCTCCACATTGCTTTAAAACCATGAGTGAAACATCTCCGCTGTCTCTTTTGTGCCCAGCAAGATTCTTTCTGATCTATGGAATTATAAGCTCCCTAAATTTGCATTGCTCCAGGTAAGAGAATGTTGTTTTTCAAAGCAAAAAAACAAAAAAACAACCTGTACAATGACATGATAGATAATGACATTCAGTGGTAACCTTCTGTTTTTGTTTTCATGCAGCTCTTCTTTCTCTTTTGAGCTATTTCTATAATAACAGCAAAATGAAACAAAATTGAAACATATGTATTACAAAGTGATGTGCATTTCAATGTGATGCCCCCCCCCCCCACCTACTTTAAGAAGGTTACTCTAAAATTTAAGCTATAAGTGGCGGGGGGGGGGATGATATCAGAATCAACTGGGAGTGGAAATCATATAAAGGAGTGAGGAAGGAACATCAATATGATTCTTTCTGCCATTTATTTGAGGTTCATTGGGTGGGCTCAATTAAAACTATATTATTTGTGTATGTAGCCTCAAGTGCAAGTTGGGGAAATGAACTCTGGAATGGTGATTATATGCATCTATTTCTTTCATTGCCACAGGTTGCCTATGTGATTATGAACAAGTAGAAGTTCCTACTAGTATGTAACCCACTTGTTTTTAGACTCCTTACTTGATGGAAGTGACCTTGTATCTATTACTGGAGACCCACAGTATGATTGTTCTGGATGATCTCAATTCAAAGGAATATATGAGGAAGTTCAAGATAGTATGGCATCCATGAAAAATATGGAAGCATCTCAATATACTGTAAACCTAACACATGTAGTAAAATTCATTCTGTATGTGTTTTTCTCAGTTGAAGAGGAAATGAAAGTGTTGGGTTAGCATCTTTGGTCATCCCATGGTGAAATCATTCCTTGTTTTTTAGACTTTCAATAGCTTTTTCCTTCTGTGAGAGTAGTTAATATATCAGTAAATATATCTTTATATCTCTTACAGTAGGGTGATAGTAAAGAAACATTTTCCCTGTAATGCCACAGCATTCCACAGTGTCATTTGGTGAAGCCTTTCTATGTGTTCAGGAATCCATTGGAGTTTATTCAGAGAAAGAGTTGATTGTACTGCAGATGACATGCTGTTTACAAGACACTTGGAAGATTTTATTACCTAACCTGAATGATTAATGTGCTTGCACATGACATTACTTAGTATAATTCTAGTAATGAAGGTATTCAGAATATCATCTAGTCCAGATATATTCAGTTGATTTTCATGTCTGAGGCATGTGGATGTAAACATAGAACTTGATCTTTTTTGGATACTCAAATGCACACTTGACTTTGTTTATTACATCCAATGGGGGAGGGTACCTGACTTGATCAAGGAGACTACAAAGTCCTACTTGAGAAAGGAAATTGTGACACCCTCTTTAAAAGAGGAAACAAACAAACTGCTTCTTGGGAGACCTAGACTAGTTCCAAGAAGATAAAAAGATCAATAGGCAAGTTGCACTTTTTCACAAACCTCTAAGGAAGGCAAAGTCAAATCCTCTCTGAAGAAATCTTGCCAAGAAAGAAATGGCGTGAGCATTTCCTGAGTCACCTGGGACAAAAAAAATTATGCATCCTAGTGTAGATAAAACTTTCATTTCCTTGAAAACACCCAGAACCATTCTATTTTACTTGTCCAGGCAACTCTGCATTTGTGACGTTTGATACTTTGGGGGCACTTAGGTCCCTCTTTTTCTTTTGCCTTGTTTTATCAACTAATGTCACATTTTGGAACTCACGATAGTCTAGGAGAGAAAGAGAGTTAGGAAAAAGTAGGGTTCTAGCCCTGATTTTTTGGAAACAAATATTTTACTTAGATTTCTTCCTATATTTTTCCTGGTCGGCCCTCAAATTGGATTTTTATGTAGAATCTGTTCTGAACTCATCATGAACAAAGTGATTGGAAACTTTCATTAGCTTCTAGTAGGGGAAAAATCAATTCATTTTCTTAGTAATTAAAAGTCTATTTTATACCCTCAGGACTGCTGGAAAATAGATTACACACAATAAAATAGATGTAGTACTACAAACACTCCCTTGAAAGTATATTACATTCAAGCACATAGGAATTGTGGGTCATATGATTGAGGAGGGTTTTAAAAATCTGAGTTCATAGATCTAATTCAAAACATAAACAATAATAAACTGTAAAATAAAATTATATTTTTCAAAATGAAAGAAAACTTACAGTAAATGGAAAATAATGCTTATTTTTGTATATTTCCACTTTATTTATATTTGAAAAGTTATCTTGTACCTTTATAATTGCAAAATCCCTTTATGGCATGTGGCTCAGCTATGTTATTCAAAGTTTTGCATCATGTGGTCCATGGTAAATCAGAGAATGGAAGATTTCTGTGGTGTCTCCATTCCCTTGATTCTTTGAGCATGTGCTCATTTTGCTTAATGGTTAATCCAGCCCTGCTGATTGTTTAGTAGTCCATAGTTGTGTGGATGTTGGCTACCTGTACACAATTTATACACATGCATGTTATTCTACATAGAGTCCCTTTATATACATATATGCTTTTTTGTATCTTTAGCCAAAAATGACATTTGTGCATTACTGGAATCCTTCAAAGTGTGTAATTAGATACTTTCCCTGCATGGTTTGGGTCCAGATTACCTACCAGATCATCTTCTCCCATGCAATCCACCCCTAACACTTAGTTCCTCTGGGTGGGGGGGGGGCTATTTCAGTCACCTTCACCACGAGGACCTTTTCATCGGCTTCCCCAAGACTGTGGAATGAGCTGCCACAGTCTTGGGGAATGACCCAAGACTATGGAATGACCTGCCACAGTCTCTCCACAGAAGAGTTCCAACAGCTAGATCAGCTGTCAGAATTTAAGACACAACTGAACACTCATCTCTTTTGGCAGGCTTTTCAAGTTGTGAATTTTAATCTGTATTTCAGCAGTGGATTTTAATTTGTATTTTAACTCTGTGTATCTTATATGTCTTTTAGTAGTGTTTATCTCTTGTTTTAATAATGATGTATCCAGCCTCGAGCCACAGGGAGAGGCGGGTAATCATTTTGTATAATTGTAATAATTATTTTGTATTATTATAATCATTATCATCATCTCCTACTTGCCTTGCATGCTGTTAAATGAATTAAAAGACTTATGAGGACTCTACTGTAATATTTCATTAGAAAATATGTCCCAAAATGGCCAGTACCCCAACATGTTTCCTTCCTTTCCCTCTTTCCTAGAATAAGCATGACTCAATTGTACAAACAACAGTAAATCCATGAGCCACAATGTAATTGCAATTTTATCTCACTGGTAACTAGTATTTTACATGAATTATTAGAGAATTGGATGACAGTGGTTACAATGAAGAAGGAGGAATGTCTCCACGTATGTTGTGGAGGCTGTCTCAAGAACATTGTGGCCTATTTTAATAACAACAAATTACTGTTATTATTATTACCCTGCTTTCTCTCTCTACAAAAGAGGTTCAAAGCGGCTTACAGTACAACCAATGCAACACAATTAAAAACCTAAAAATATACAAACATTAAATTAGAATTAAATATTAATGGTATTAAAATAAACTTAAAAAGTATATTACTTTAATTTTAAGTTGTTCTCAACTACAGCACTTGACTAATCGCTAAAAGTTTGACTAACAAGCGTTGCCTTCCATATCGGAAAATAAAGTCAGGAACATTATATGATGTGAAGGGTTAAACATACTATCTGCATTGCCTGTTGCTGTTTCCAATACCTTATTAGCAGCCAGGCTTACTATTCTTTTGAACAACTTACACAACAGCAATTCATGTGCAGTAATGGATTATCCATAATGCTATTGCCCAGGAAGACTGTTCCTTCACATCTATCTACCTCCCAGATATTCTTCAGACTTTCTCTTTTACTATACTATAACAAGACTTTCATTTATCTTCCTTTCACTCTTGATATGTTCCATCTCTTTGCACTCTACAGCTAGTCTTGAACTAGTCATATTTACATTTAACACACAATTCTAATTCATTGACATTTTCCCCTATTTATTTTATTATGTAAACAACAGGAAAAGTTCAATCAGACCGATAATATGAGTTAACAGAAAAGTGTGCATGGTGGGACATTTGACCAGTTATTCTGGTGAAATAGTTGGCTGGGTGTTGTTAGCTTTCTCCATTTTGAATGAGCACAAGGTTCTCTTGTGAAGCCTTTTTATGGTGTGGTTGAGGCCAAAGAGAAAACATTACCCCATATGGCAGAATATCCTAATAGTAGTTGGTGCAAATACAAATTTGGTAGTAACATAATCAATGAAAAATGACCAGCCTTATAATAAGTGTGGTTTATTGTATCCATTACACATATTGCTATTGTAAGATAAATTTTCAAGCAACAATGTATACCAAACACATGTTTTACAGCAGGCAGTTATTTTAGTTTGTGCTCAGTCAGAAGAAAGGCAGTAAGGTTTCTATGTTTTAGATTACTATTTTCTTTGATAACTAAAAAAAAAAATCACCTTAGAACAGGAATGGGCAAATCCAGGCTCTTTTCTCAGCCTGTCCTCTCTCTCAGCATTCTATCCTCCCTTCCTTCTTTCCTTCCACCCTTTCGTCCTTCCTTCCCTCTTTCCTTCAACCTTCCTCTCTCTTTCTCCATCTTTCCTTCTTGTCTTTCCTTTCTTATCTGTTTCCCCATTCCCTCCTCCCCTCCCTCCCTTCCCTTCCACACTTCCTTCCTTCTCTTGTTCCTTCCTCCTTTCCTCTTGGAGTATGTTTAGCTGGGAGAAGAGAAGGTAGAGAGGGAACATGAGAATCATGTTTCAAGATTTCAAAGGGTGTCCCATTGAGGATGAGGGGAAAAACTGACTTTCTTCTGCTCTAAAGACCAGGGCACAAGGGAGCAATAGGTTCAAATGGCAGGGAAAGAGATCCAACAGAATAGAGATCCAACAGAAGAACTTCCTGAGAGTAAGAGCTGTTGGAGAGTAGCATAGGCTGCCTCTAGAGGCTTTTCTGCAAAGGCTGTCTATCGGGAGTGCTTTGATTGTGCCTTCCTGCATGGCAGGGGATTGGGCTGGGTGGCCCTTGGGGGTCTCTTCAAGCTCTAGAATTCTAGGATTCTATATCAGGAGTAGGTCTAATGGATACGCTTTTTATCTAAAAAGAAAACTGGGTTACCATGAAACTGTAGAGACCAAAATCCACTGATTATGGTAATGCGAATGTATCTAAATTAACTCAATGTATACTTACAAATGCACATATCAACAAAACCCAAAGCTTCCACATTCACATTAAGCAGAAACAATTGGTTCTTCTCTTGAAGTATGAAACAAAATCTTCATGTGAGTAAGAATAGTCCTTGAATGTCAACAAATGTCCTATTCTTTATTGCATACGAGTAGACTCCAGTAATCACAATAGGTGTCCTATTTCCTTTGTTACACACGAGTCAACTCCAACCTGCAAGCAGTTTCAACTCACAAGAACCTTCATCAGGTAGTTGGGTCTACAAACAACACATATCATTAATACATACATACAGTTGAACAAATTGTGACATCAAGTTTGTAAGTATATATACAGGCACGCTACTTACTCATTTAACAATAGCACATTTATCAAAAAAGGCTCAACTTTTGAGGTAAATGATTCACCAACAATGTTCTTGAGATGTGGATCCTAAGGGGACATACATAGTGGCTAGAGGTTGTATTGCATTGTGACATGAATTATAAGCCATTCATAACAGAAATGTAATATCTGGAGTGACCACCTCTAAAATCTGTACTTGAAATGATTCGGGGCTGTGGTTCAAGTCAACAAAATGCTTGTATAAAATAGAATCAGTAGAAGTTGTGGCAGGAGGAAAGACAATCTCCGAGGAAGTATGTTTAACAGCATTTCCCATGCGTACTTTACTGTTATACAATTATATCACTATGTACTAGTAATTACAGCAATTATTATTTTCAAGGTGGATGACCTTAGTAGCAACTAGAATGCCAAAACTTCTGAACTTTGGTTTCACAACTCACTTAATCCTCTCTGCATGGCAAGCATTTTAAAGCAGTATGACATATATCCTAATGGATAAATATTTTCCCCATTAAAATATAGTGGAGAAATTGAGCTTTCCTTTCATCTAAATGGAGTTGATGTCAATGTGACCAAAGAGAGATGGCGCCGATCTCCAAACAATCCACCAGAGCAAATTGACTGTACCCTTTCTAGTTGGTCCTCATGGAGTATGTGTGATCCATGCCAGAAAAAAAGGGTAAGTCTATATGTGATTTGTGTTTGTTAGGAGTCCTGCTGTCAAAGAATGAGCGGACTAGTTCAAATCAATACGACTCCCTTTCCAGCTCCATATCTGTACTATTAATCTTGCTTTAGTTCTTTCTTTTTCATCCCTTTATGAACTTTGAGAGTAATGAAAAAGTGGTCCTCAGTATTCCAACCACCTGGGCCACTAGCCAAGCTGACTGGGATAGATGCGAACTACACTCCAAAAATATCTGGAGGACCACAGGTTTTATTTTAACCTTTTCCTTTAAATTGTCCAGTTGCTTGCTTATTCCCTCTTGGACCTATATCTGTCTTGTTTTTATCCATTTTTTGTCTAACTCAAGGATGCAGACAAACCAATGTACAGTATTGGGCCTCCAAGAAGAGATCTAGAGCTTTAGAACCAGGAACAACTTTTGTTGGATAAGCATAACAGAACTGAGTAGCTAGCTAGCGGTGAGCAGGCAAATGGAAGATCACTGGGAGTCTGGACTGGAAGTTCTACAAGTTGTTTTTACTTTAAATCAGTTGTCATCATAAATTCCTTACTACGTCTATAAAGCTAAATGACTCCTCCCCTTTGGCCTTTGCTTCAAGCCATCATATATTATATGCCAATAATATTTAGTCTACTGCCTTAATTCTATGTCTGTGCCTTCCAATTTATGGTGGCACCATGAATTCCAGAGCAATGTCTTAAGGAAGGAATACTCAGAGGTGGTTTTCCCAGTTTTTTCCTCTGGCATATAACCTACAGAACCTGACATTTGTTGACAGTCTCCCATCAAAATAGCACCTTAAAAATTGTTTCATTGACTTTAGAACCTTTAGCCCCTTTAGTTTCCATACCTTCTGACACCTTTTTTCTAATCTTCAGCCTGCCTCACAAAGGAAATGTCTGATGTTCTAATCCCTGTCAAAATGACAACATTCCCTTCCCTTAGAAGTTGAATTACAAGTATTTTGACAGCCTTATCCTGTGAACAGTCAAAAAGTTCAGCCACGTTCCATGTCAACATACAAGCTCAGCCAACTGGTGTCAGAGGTTTCACTACCAGATATACAATACGATATAGATATATCTCACAGAATTGGCTCATATGCCATAGCAATGCTGCGATCCCAGTTTTTTCAATCATACAATTCAATCTTGTGAGATTTCATTAAAATTCAAATAAAGATCCCATTATATATTAATGTAATACTTGTTTGTTTGTCCTGGTTCGCTTCGGCAGCACATATACTAAAATTGTATGTTATTTTATATTGCTTATTTCATTTGTGATTTTATATTTTGTTTGATGTATTTGTGTTGTTTTTTGTCTTATTATGTTATATCATTTTTGGGCTTGGCCTCATGTTAGCCGCCCCGAGTCCCCTTCGGGAAGATGGTGGCAGGTTATAAATATTGTTGTTGTTGTTGTTGTTATTTATTCTTAACACCAGTGAATCCAAACTTTGAGACTCTAAATCTTGACTGTTGGCTTAAGTTTCTAGGAGGCAAAATACAAAATTGAAGAACCAATTTGAGAATTGCTCTACATCATTAAATATGTGACGATCCTGAATATGAATCGGTTATGAATGTATAATCTAAAACATGGTTGTAAATTCCAGTCATAGGCTTATATTGAGCCAGATTTGTCTGCCTAACTAAGTATTATTAGGCCCCTTGTACGCTGCCATATAAAATCCAGATTATCTGCATTGAACTAGATTATATCACAGTGTAGTATGGGGCCTTAATTCTTACTAGCAGAAAAAGGGTTGCAGACAAATCTATTTCCTAGCCCTATATGGAAATACATGTGGTCTCCAAAGTATTAATCGGGCCTAATTCTGCTTAGCTTCCACAATCAGAGGCCTCTTCTACACTGCCATATAAAATCCAGACTATCTGCTTTGAGTTGGATTATATGAGTCTACACTGCCATATAATCCAGTTCAAAGCAGATAATCTGGATTTTATGTGGCTGTGTAGCAGGGGCTAGAGAAGCTGGATGACTGTTTCTATTTAAGTAAAATGGCTAATATATGTCCAGGGCCAAAACATCTTAATGACACGAGATTCCATTTGATCTTAGAAGATAAACAGGGTCAACTTTGGTTAATACTTGAAAGGGAGACTGCCAGGTGTTGTAGGCAATATTTCAGAGGAAGGAAATGGCAAGCCACCTCTGAGTATTCCTTGCCTAAGAAAAACCTTTGAAATCAACAGGATCATCATAAATTGGCAGGTGACTTGAAAGCACAAACACACACACACAGAGGGAGAGAAAGTTTTTGTCTGGAAGATTAAGACTCACAGCTGTTCTTTTTTTATCTTGAACATTTTCCAGTGGCAAAGTGCTTTGATACTAAAGCATTGATTCTTATAGACATTTGTGGTAAGATTCCTATTATCTTCATAAGGACAATGTAATAGTGTTTTGTCACCAAGCCCCAATGGTCGTTTTTAAGTCATTATTTGGATTTTCTTAAAGCCACAGCTTCCCGATCATTGTCAACTCAATTTTTGCTGTTGTATAAGATTAGAAAAGTAGATGGTGTGAACAACAGAGACAGTATTGGAGTAGGAAGTGAAGCAGTTTTACTACTCATGTGAGGTTGTATCTAAAGGCATGCAGTTTCCTTCCATAAAACCTTTAGCTTATAGCTGAAAACATGAGAATGAATCCAGGAAATATATGGCTGGGGTCTCTTCTTCAGGTATAAAATTACAAGTATGCCTCAGTTAACAAACTTCCTGACAATGTTTCTTTTGGGGGGGGGGGTCAGCCAGCTCTTCTTTCCCTTCCTGTCCATCAGCCACTCTGAGTCCCTCTATGAGGGGGAAAGGTGGGATTTAAAACAAAGTAAAATAAAATAAATGTTAACAGCATTAAACATTGAGAGAATGATTCAGAAGGGTGGAGAAAACACAGAAGATCAATGTCTATTTACACCCCTTTATCAGCAATAAAATGCAGTAAAGCTTCAGCTGAGAAAAAGTGGAAGTCTACCTTAGATTATTCTACTATAGTCATGTGAAGAGGCCTGCATGTGATCATGCCACACACTGGTAAGGAAAGTAGCAGGTGCCTCCAGAATCCCTTATTAAACATGCATGAAAAGGGGGCAAGCAGATAACTCCAATGTGTGAGAAAAGCATACATTTATAACATTGACCATCAAAATGGAACATGTAAGAAACATGGAAACTGGTGAAAGAAAAAGGTATATTTTTATGCATTTTGGAAGAAACCCTCAAGCGGTCTCTAGAAGGTTCAGAATATTTTTATTTACTTATGCAAAGCTTACTTGACCCAGTTCTTTCTTTTCATATATGCATATTGCTTGTTTTGAACAAAATATCTGTATATAGAAATGCTCTTTGTGTGTAGAAACCCATCCCTTTTCACCCATGGTATTTCTAATGCTGGTACTAGATTGTCTGTTAAAGAAGTGATGCCAACAAACACTTTTACTTTATTTACTGAGGTATACATGAACATTTTAATTGGCAGTACCTATAGTACATTGTACTTACATATACCATATCTCACCTGTTGGAAGTGGGAGATCTGCATAGTCATTATGAACGATATCACAGGAAAATGTTATGTGGTCCTTTCGCTGGTCTCTAATACCATAATAAGGCAATGATAAGTACACATGATTTAGGATCGAGAATGGCTTTCTTATATTGAGTATCTGCTGTATCTCATGATAGAAGATTTTGGAAGGTGTTAAGGCACTGGTTTAGTATATCTGACACTTTGCTGAGTACTCCTTAGGGCTGTGCACAGATCCGTTTATCAAAATGGGCTCTGGCTGTTCCAGCTTTTTCAATCAGCCATAATGATACGGTCACCACCACCCTTTTTTTCCAGCCACAACAGACCATGTGGTTGGCATCGAGAGCTACTTTGGATTTCATTCATCTACACATGGATCAAGGAGAGGCAGCCATGAGCCCACATGGAGTTTCCCTGTAAGCCCTACCTGCTAAGCCAATCAGAACAGAAGAAAGCTATGAAGTGTCTTTTAGCCAAGCTGAGCCTCCATGTTTCTGTTGTGAGCAGGCTTCTGAAAGAGAAGATCATTCTCCAGTTTGCTGGTGATCTAAATGCTGCTTGCAGCTCTGTATTGCTTACTTTACTTTTTGACTTGAAAAGCAATAAACCACTTGTTCTCTGAACAGAGTCCCACAGAGCGAAACACATGATGCAAGGCTTCTTCTGGAGGGCTCCGTTTCAGCATCAGAGAGAAACAAAGCCCAGAGGACTCAAGTGTTTGCTTAACTCCTTATTGAAGAAGGGAAGAGGAAACAAAAGGAAAGATAAGAAAACAATGTGGGAAGAAAGAAGATGGTCTCCAATAGAAGGGAACAGAGCCTGATGATTCCTTCTGCTGTCCCAAGTTTGCTAATGCTATTCTTTGCTATGCCCCTGCCCATCTGATAAGATCCTTGATGTGTCTCTACTTGATGTTATTACATGATTCCCTTGACTCAAAAGAAAAGGCTTGCAATACCACATCCTCCCATCCACATGGACGAGATGGTTCTTCTGGTCCATCTGGTCTACATAACCCATCCTATGCCTGGCCAGCCACATTTGGAGGCTTAAGGTTTCTCTGGACTGCAGGCAAGCCAAATTTAAACCAATGCAAAAATTTGAGCAGAATACTGCTTAGTACTGGGATGGAACAAATGGTTGTCTATGAGAGTTCCTTAAAATTTGATGTGACCTATTCAGGCTTGAAAATATATTCTTTCTTAGAATCTGCTTATCCCACCCCACTTCTTTAAGAAACTATTATAAACACACATTTCTAGCTTATATGTGATGTGATGAATACTACTTTCATATTACATTTTAAAATTATGGATAGAATAGAGGGAACCAGACATTTATCATTTATGTTAAGTACTGTCAGTAGTTGAGATCTGTACCAACTCAGGATGCATTAATTAATTTAGGAGATTAGGAATTAATAATATATTTTATGTTACAGTACAGATTTGCCCGTGTAGAACAACCTTCCCAGTTTGGTGGTGACCGATGTGATTACACTGACAAAGAAACTGAAGAGTGTGTTGCAAATAGACCTTGCAGAAACACTGTTAGATGTGAAGGCTTTGTATGTGAAACAGGTTAGTGAATAAAGTAAAAAAGCTTCGTTTTATTTGAAACCATCACTGAAATGCAGACATACAGGATGGGTGATGTGAAAAAGATATTGGAGTCTTAGTAGACAACAAGTTGAACATGAGCCAACAATGTGATGCAGCAGCTAAAAAAGCCAATGGGGTGTTGGGCTGCATCAAAAGGAGTATAGTGTCTAGAACAAGGGAAGTAGGGGTGCCCCTCTATTCTGCTTTGGTCGGACCTCACCTGGAATACTGTGACCAATTCTGGGCACCATAGTTGAAGCTGTTGACAAGCTGGAACATGTCCAAAGGAGGGCGACTAAAATGATCAAAGATCTGGAAACAGTGGCCTGTGAGGAACGGCTTAAAGAGCTGAGCATATTTAGCCTACGGAAGGGAAGATTAACTGGAGACATGATAGCCATGTTTAAATATTTGGAAGGATGTCATCGAGAGAGGGAGCAGGTTTTTTTTCCTCAGAGCAATGAGTTCAAATTAAAGGAAAGGAGAGTCCACCTGAACATTAGGAAGAACTTCCTAACCATGAGAGCTTTTCAACAGTGGAACTCACTGCCTTGGAGTGTGATGGAAGTTGATTCTTTGGAGGATTTTTAACAGTGACTGGATGGCCATTGTTCTGGTGTATTTTGATGGTGCCTTTCCTGCATGGCAGGGGGTTGGACTGGATGGCCCTTGTGATCTCCTTCAACTCAGTCATGCTGATATTCTATTTCTATCAAATTTAATTTGCCCTTAATAAGACCAATGCAGGAACATTGTGTTTCTGGCCTGCTTAAACTATGGTAGATTAGACTGCATGGTGTCTCAATTGAAAACTAATGATGTCCAAATTCTTTTGGTTAATTACCCATCTAGAGCAAATCCATTAAACCTATTGTTGAATGGTGAATCAGCATGTTGGTAAATCCCATCGATCTTCTCTAGCTGTCACAAACAATAGGATTCAAACCATATTTGCATGATGAGAATCTTTAAAAGATCTTAACATAAATCTTGTCATGAATTTAAATTGGAGAGACAAGCAACAACAGTACGTGTCCACTAGGCTTGGGTAACCACGGAAAAATTTGGTTCTAAACTCGTTTCATTTTTAGGGGGGCCCTTGTGTTTCGTTTTTTTAAAGAATTCCGAAATTTTCCTTTAAAAAAGTTTGAAATATACGAAATTTCGTAATTTCGAATTGATTCGTTAATGGCGGACGCGATTGCGCAATATGCTAAAAAAAACCTCCAAATGGGACAGGGGGAACTTCTGAAGCTTCCCTCTCCCTCTGTTGTTGACTGTTGGTGTGATAATTTATTTTTTATCACTGATAAAACAAACAACAACTATAAAACTTGCACCAGACATACGGAAATAATTACGAAACAATAACAATTTCGAAACAATTTTGAACCAATTACGAAACAATTACGAAACAATACGAAATAAATTGGAAAAATTGTTTCGATTTTTAATTACTCCTCACAGTAGTCCTGCATGGCTCAATATTGGATCGTAAGCTAATTTAAATACGAATTAATAACGAATTACGAAATTAACGAACGAAACCGCCCAAGCCTAGTGTCTATGGCATTAAATGTTTCATGAATCATCTGTCTGGAAGAAGCACATGTGTCTGTGTGCACACAGAGATCCATTTATTTGTTCTTATCTTTCCTTATGGAATCACTGTACAAGGCCAATGCAGAACAAAATATTGATTGATTACAATTGTGTGTGCTCCAGAGTAGGGCATCAGTTCCCATATGTGGAATAAGACTATGGCTGGATTTACTAGGGAATTGATGCAGCCCCTCCTTCATAGCCATTTCATGCCTGGTGAAAGCAGTGTGGAATTGAAGAAGCATCTAGATTTGCCCCTATAGCTAGATATGAAAGTATTACAACACTTGGTGAAATCTCTGAAAGTAGACCTCAACAGAGCGGGATACATCCAAATACTTCTCTAGTCCATCCCTGGTGGGGAGAAGACTGAAGCAGCATGGAGGGAAGAAACGAATATTAACATCCATATTGATCAGAAAGTTCAATTTATGCAGACATACATTTAATATATTCATGGGTATGGAACTAACAGGATGGCATTCATTGTCTCACACATCGGGTATGGCTATTAATGGGATTAAATTAGACCCAATCTTTTTCTACATTCCATTTTGCAGTAGCTTGTATAGTTAAAAGTGAGCACTTTTAGGTATATTAAGGAGATTTTTTTTTTTGGTACTTGGTATTTTTACAAATATGGTTTATCTGGGGGTTTTTAACAATGTAATCCATTGATTTATGAACAAATGTTATTTATCCAAACTACTGATAATTTCTATCTGACCAGGGATCTCAGCTGCAGCAAGGAGATCTAGCTTCTCAAGTCATTATAGATCGTTATAGTAATAACACAATTAGCCATATGTTTCAAAAGAGTAAGCATTTAAAAGAAATACATAGCTGAAGAAATCAAAATTCATAAAATGTATTAAGAGTTGTGTTGTCCATCTTCGTTGAAAAATAATGAGGGCAATTACTATGCCAATTTCTACAACCAGAAAACTCTAGGGTTTTTTTCCCAATATTTGTGCAGTGGCAACATTTTGCAGACTAGTTCTTTAGCTATTGCTTTGGTGATGTATAGAACAGATAAGCCTACGCACTACAAGATTGTTAATGCTAAGAGTAACTAGAGCAGAACCATTATAGATCCAATGTAGAATAGATCTAATCAGGATTTGATACATCTACAGTCATGTAAATTCTATTGATTCAATGCTTGTATTTTAGTGAGATTAACAATTAAATGCAAATTAATGTTGATTAATGCATATGGAATGTCAACAGGAAAAAAGACCTAGTATTTGAAACATGAGTAGCAAAGAAGTACTGAAACATTGTACTTTCAAAACAAAGATAAAATCTATAAGTAGTGAGAATTTTAGAATGCAGCAACAATGGTAGATTGCATATTTGTTGCATTTCATTTTCATCGTTGCAGTTTTCTCAGGTCCTTTTGTTTTATGACTTGTCTCTCCTATTAAATGCAATGCAGTTCACAAATGGTCAAATTATAAATGGTGACAGTCTTAAAGGGATAGTACCAAAATGCAGCATGCTGTAGATTTCTCCTAATCAATTAAGTATGTCATGTTATATAACACAAAGATAAGAAGAATTTTTAGTAACAGGCTGATATAAATTGTGTCTGTATGTTTTAAGAGGGGCAGAGGCATAAAATTGCACTTATTAACCTAAACGGTAATATCAGATTAACAATTAATCAGTGCATTTCCATTCTGCATTGTAGGAAGATGTATTAATCGGAGGCTACTTTGCAATGGAGATGATGACTGTGGGGATCAGTCAGATGAAAAAAATTGCAAGAAAGTGTATAGGAGATGCAGCCAGCCCATAGAACAATACTGGGGAATACAGATGCTAGCAAGCGGGTAAGATTTTCTGCAGAATACAAATAAGATTCATCTAGCTTTAGTGACTAGAACTGTTCCTATATTAAGAAACATTTGTGCAAATGTGAACCTATTTGAAGAAGAGCTAGTTTTCACATTTTTTTGAAGAATAGCTCTAGAATAATTTTGGGGTGGTGTGGAGGGAACAAATGAGAAGAACACCCTGAGAAGACATCAACTAGCATGATTCTGAATTTAGAACCTTTTGTATTCGGTTGACAACTAAACCTGAAGATTCTATTGCTTTTGTACTCTACAAGGGTGACAATTGTAAAGAATGCTGTTGAACAATCATAGAACAATCTTTCCTATGACTTTGAAAATGAAATTGCTCCATAATATAAATTTAATAGATCTCCTTAGTGATTTTCATTGTGTTCTTAAATGGAAGCTTATTTATTTCTTAATAAATCTTTCTACGGAGGAATTTTAATCTAATGTGTTGTGAGAGAGTTGTTAACCCAATTATTTAAAGACCAACAGTGGGGGGGGGGGAGGGGGAGGAGAGAGACAAATATAATTCCGTAAATGTAAAAGTACAGGCAGTCCTTACGTTATGGACAAGATAGGTTTCTTCCAAAGTTGAATTAGTATATAAGTTCAAAGAGGTACATTTTTAAAGTATAGCTACAGCCATCCATACACACACACACACACACACACACACACACACACATATATATATATATATATAGAGAGAGAGCGCTTTGGATAGCAAAAGGAAGAGTTAATACCTCCATGTTGTTTGTCTTGCTGTCTGTGTCCCTGTTCAGAAGAAGATTTCATCTCCTTTCCTGTTCCTGTGACAGTTGGATTTTGAACACTCTTTGCTTGTTGTAGAAACAAGGATTGGTGATAAAGATTCAGTGGAGACACCTTTTTCCCAAGATAACTTTTCCAGAAGTGAATTTCCCTTCCAAGACATAGATTTCTCTCACTTCCTGTTGTCTCATCCCCATTCTTAATTATGAGTTGTTTGTAAGTCAGATGTTTGTAATTCAGGGAATAACTGTTAGGCATGTGCATTTTGGTTGAACCTCAATCCTTTTCTGCTGGCTGGACACCGGTAGACCTCCATATCCATTTTCATGTGCTTTGCAAAAATAGGTGGGTAGCTGGATGGCCGTTTTCAGTCCATAGCTGAAAAATGTGGCTAATTCCAGCCCATTAGCAGCTATGAGGTTCCCCTTTCTGGTCCTGGGAGCCTTTCCTTTTTTCCTTCAAGGGATCCTGGATGTCTGCAGTGGGGTTAAGAAAGCACCCTATCTGGGCCATTATTGGGGGGGGGGGCTTCCCACAGACTCCCCTTCCATATCCTTAATTAAGACCTGGATTAAATGCATCAGAGTTAAGGTACCACTCTTTCTGCAATCCTTTCCCTTCTGTCTGTAGAGAAGACTGAGTTTAATGTTTCATTAAAGCTGCTTCTTTCTACTCTAGAGGAGACAGACTGCAGGGTATGTGTGCTCTTTCCCTGCACTCAGCTTTCCAATACATTTAAGGAGGCTTCCCAATTTCCAGGGAAGAAAGAGCAATCAACCTGGAGCAATCTCCCTGGGCTTCCTAAATAAAAAAAACCCCTCTTTGTTCTCTAATGCAGGCCCTGTCTGGGATGGGTACGCTTCAGTTTCTGGGTTTAAAGCTTCATTAAAGCTGTTTCTACTTTCTATTATAGAGGAGAGGTAACTAGGTGGTAGCAGTTTTCAGAGAATGAATGTTTTTGCTTTCTGGGATTTATTATTATTATTATTATTATTATTATTATTATTATTATTATTATCTTTTAGAAGTGTTTGAAGGAGAGGAAGGGAAGGAGAAAAAAGCTAAAAGGGTGACTCTCCCAAGCCTCCAAATGCACGTGTACACCCCATCCACTCATCCCCACACGCCCCCAACTTCCATCCAGTGCCACTAAATAAAAAGAATCAAGAAGATAAAGGAAAATAAAGGAAAATCAAAAGGATTAAACTGTGGTGTCTAATAGGGAAGGAGAAGCTGAGATTGGCTGCCACGTGGTCTCATAATGGACAGGAATGAATGAACTAAATGGCTAAAAATGGATCTGGGCTCAAGCCTACTACCTGTATAAGATTTTCTCCAGTTGTTTTACCAATGAAAGCAGAAAACTAAGAAAATCTGACTTTGAATAGAATTTACTCATGAATGTGTAAATATCATGGCTTTAACAATCTCTCTTCTTTCCAGATTAAATATTTTCACAAATCATCTGGAAGGCTTAGTTCTTGACCACAAATACTATGCTGGTGCTTGTTCACCACAGAACATTGCAGGCATCAATTTCAGGAAACCATCCAATGTAGAAAGCTATTTGGCTGAGGTATTTATCTAATAGCTGCTTTTCTTTCAATTCAGATTTGTGACATATTACATCCTTTATTATAGTGAAGTTTTTATCTTCAACTTATCTATTTTATATGGATATGATCCATTCTTTCTTTGTATCAAGACCTGCCCTGGAATTCTTCACAGGAATTTTTTTCAATATAGACAATAAGAATGCAATTTTATATGAACAAGTTTTTAATTGTTTCATGTGGTTTAAGATATTTTAATTGGCTGGTTTGTTTAATTCCATTATAATATTTGTATGTTGTGGATTTTAAGCTGTAATTTTTAAATGTTGTGAGCTGCTTTGTTTCTCAATCAAGATAAATGTGGATCGATATATTATTTATTTATTTATTTATTTATTTATTTCGAGTGCTTCTACCCCGCCCTTCTCAACCCCCTAGGGGGGACTCAGGGCTGCTTACAAAAGGCACAATTCGATGCCCAACAGTTCACAGAATACAATATACAAAATACAGTATAACAACAACAATTATAACTAGTTAAAACAATCAAATTAATACAATAGCAGCAATAAAATCATCTTGTGGTCAATGTTTGCCAATCCATAAATCCATAATCCATCCAGCATTGTCATAGTCCTTTCCTACTCTGGTCATCATTGTCTTTTATCCATCTGCCAGCTTACCCAAAGGCCTGGTCCCATATCCAGGTTTTTAACTTCCTTCTGAAAGAGAGGAGGGATGTTGATGACCTAATTTCCCCAGGGAGTGAATTCCACATGCACAAACATATCTGAAAACTTTGACAGTTCCCAAAGCAATGTAATGGACATCCTGCTATTTTCAACCAAATTAGAGTTAACTTGCCATATATATTCATGTGTAAATTGACTAATGTGTAAGTTGAGGGCAGGTTTTAGAGCCAACATTATAAATTGTGGGTTTTGATCTGATCATGCAAAGGGGGAAGAACCAATGCTGCATCAGGGGACCAAGTGCACCTGGCAAACCACTCCATGATTTTCCTGCCCAGTCTGCTATAGCAGAAGCAATAGAAGGCATTGGTGCTTATTTAAGTTCTCCTAGAACCAATTAATTTCTTGTTTTTCACCACACTAATCAGAGAAGGGGATGGTTCCTTTTTTGATAAAAGTATGGTACTCACATTGATCCACAGTGATTATTTGACTAAAATTTAAGACTAATACATGAATATATAGTACAGTTTTCTTCTTGTCTAATTTAAAATATATTGCCAAAAGATGCACTTAATTCTTTAGTTTACCTATAATTCCTAGATAAAATGGTTATAAGAATGAGGATGTTAACAGCATTTGCGACCTCATTCCATGGAAGTCAAGAAGTGTCTTCTCTGACACACTGCTAACAGAGCCCATCAGATGGTGCAGGGCTACTTCCAGTGGGGCTCTGTTAAGCTCCATGCTGGCAGCATGCCAGCAGTGCAGAGAAATGGATCTGAGAGGAGTCAAGTATACACCGACTCCTCTGGGATCTGCTTCTCTTCACTATTCATAGAAAAAAGCCAGGGAGGAAGCGGGAGGAAGCTGGGGACAGTGAGGAAACATTGTGGGAAGGGATCCCATGACGATAAGGGAACACAGCATTACATTGGCCCATGGTTTCCCCCACTGTCCCCTAGCTTCTTGGCTTCCATGTGATGAGGTCCTGAGTCACTTATTATTATTATTATTATTATTATTATTATTATTATTATTCTCATCCTCAAAATTATAACATATTTCTCTAGCATCCTGTTAGGCAGTTACAATGTTACAAGTTAGACTTCCAATAATATGTAATCCGATTTGTAAACATGCCACAATTACAAATGCATCTGAAAGCCACCTTAATCGCCAGGCCTCCTGAGTGATGGAGATAAATGATGCTTCCAAGTGGAGCACTGTAGGCTTATGTGCCCAGTCTTCTCCTGCTAGTAAAAAATGGTGTGAGGCACAGAAGAAATAGGTCCCATTGCAACTCTTTGTTACAACTTGTCTCACTGCCCATATCATCATGCAGAGACCTGCTTGGCAACACTACAGACTCCATCACTTGGGATTTCTGAATGGTCTTTAAGACAGGGTTGAGAGATTGGACCTGAAGATAAGAACTTTGCTTTAATATCATGGCTCTCCCGTCAGTGCGGGATCTCAGCTGTTATTGAGATTCTCTCTTTTCCAAGTCAACATGGCTTGCAACATGAAAACAAAAACAGCATAGATAAAATATACAAAAAAAATTGTCATTCAAATGTTACTTTGTTTTTCAATATTTTTCATTCTCATATTACCATACCTTGTTCTTCCTTATTTTATGTGTGAACGAAGAGCTTCTTTTTGTTTTGTTTTTTTTTGTGTAGACCAAAGGCACGTATGATTTTACTTCAACTGAATATGAAACTTACTCAAGTTTTGAACAGAATGTCGATAGCACCAAGTCAAAACAAACAAGCTTCAGTGTTGGATTAAGAATACCGGGTGTATTTCACTTTGGTTATAGCCAGGATGATACAAGATTCAAGAGATTTGTTCAGAGAACAAAACAGTTTTCTTCAACGGTAAACACACTTTTGCTTAATTCTAGGTATATTTTAAGTAGAATAATGTATTGTGCACATGCACACATTTGAATCGGAATTCCACGGTCACCATATTCAGAAGTTACACTGGTAGGGATAATTATGAAGGAGAAAAACATCAGGATTCAAGGTCACATTCAAATTAAAGCAAAATCAACGATTAAAAAGAAATGTACAAAAGGTTAAACATGCAATTTTGTCCCTAAATCCTTATAGGAAGCACTGGAGACATTAAGGTATACATTTGATTTGTTTTTTTTTAAATCTTCAGAGACCTCAGTGGGGGACTATCCTCCAAAAAGTGCCCATCTCCACTTTAAAAGAAGAGACCTTACTTTCATGATTCCTTTAGTATCTGTTTTTCCAAGAGTTGTCTTTGCTATAACTGCCTTCCTGTCCTTGGGATTTTCAGAGGATTTCACTATGAACTTAAAAGGCCATGCTAATGTTTGACTGGTGAAACAATAAGACAGGTGGTGTCAGTTCAGAATATGGCAAAAGTAGCGAAGAAACCAAAGTGTTCAACTGCAGGGCAAGCATGACAGTAATACAGAATGAAAACTGCTTGCAGGCCTTCCATGGTTTAATTATACACAGAAGAAAACTATTTTGCTTTAAGAATGCTGAAAAATCAATTCAGTGATTTATTCAAGAGAACAATATATATAGCAGGAGATGGTTGCAACAATATTGTACTTAGGTTATGTAAAAAATCTTGTGTAAGAAATGAATGAATATACTGATGCTAAGGATGATGACAATGACAGTGATGTTAATCTCCCAAGATACAGGATTTCCTTTGATGCCTAGTATAGACCAATTAACAATTGGGACTAAATTTCAGTTTTTAGAATCTTCAAGTTTTCAGCTCCCAAATTATATGATCTGAAAAAAGGTTGACTTTTTGGGCGCTACTGAAATAAGGCGCGGACTTTTTGGGGAAGCCATCATAATGTTTTGAACAGATGGATAACACAACAAATTAGTCAGGGGGTTAATTTTTCAAAATAATTAGTAACCTTGAATTTTGAGCCAGAGGTAGAATGAATGTGCTTGTCAAGTTTCCACACCAAACATGAAGATTAATTTCCTTGTGAATCCATGTAATAGGCCATTTCCACGCTTTATCTATTTAAATGAGCATAGGATTTGGAAGGTTAATTCACTGTTAAACTTTCCTTGCACAGTTCAATCAAACTCTATGCAAAGAAGGTGATTTTGTAAAGATGGTGGTCTTCTATATTCATTGAGGCTTTCAATTTGATTTTAAATCCTGGGAAATGAGTTTAAAATACCACAAGGGAGCTTCCCAAAGTTACTCTCCACCTATGGATGAAGGCAAAAATGTCTACCGGGTGGGGGGAGGTTAACACCAACTGGTTGGTGGCTTCTGCTGTCAGGGAGACAGTAGATCTGTTCAGATTTTTTATTTGAGCCTTAAAAGATCTACCGACCAATATCTCCAAATTGGGGTATAGTAGTCTGGGAAGCGCCTTAAAAGTTCAGACTAAATCCTGGAGTGCAAGTTCCTGAGGTTGGTGGTTGGAGGATTCTAGGAGCTTTAATCTTAAAAGCAGAACTTTTGAAATTCTGCTTACATGCATTTTTAAAAATATATGTTTTCAATATAACTAAAATGCATGAAAAAAATACAGTGTGTCCAGAAAGACTGCACCAAACCCTGTAACACTGAAAAATACACAGAGAAATTTAAGACTGTGTTGAAGCATTTTGCCTTCTCTTATTTGCTACATTTTTTTTAATCCAGTCTAGCAAATTTATCCATGCACGTTCAGACCTGGAAATTGCCCAGTATAAACTGAAAAAACAGAATCTGATGCTTCACTATGAGTTCTTCCAGCGAGTTCTTCAATTGCCTTTAGAGTACAGTTATGGGGAATATCGAGAACTCTTCAGAGACTATGGAACACATTACATCACCGAAGCTACCCTTGGGGGCATTTATGAATTCACTTTGGTCATAAACTCTGATGCACTTCAGAAAGCAGGTATGTGGGCTAAAAAGGCTACAATGGGAGCTAAGTGAATTTATGTTCTCTTATAAGTACCTGAACATTGTACTGTGTGCCCTTGGTATCTTTTGGGGTTTGGTTACAGGTCCTCTGTCTTCATCCCCCTGCATCCCAGATAACAAAATCCATTGATACTAAGTCCCATTATATACACAATAATGTATATAATGTATAAAGTCATATTTTATGAATTCGAATTACAAGTGCATGATTAATAAAGCTAGTTCCTTAAAATCAATAAGACATGTTCAAAAGAAAACTGTTACGTTGTGTTCCTGAGTTGTTTAGAAGCCTTGTCTTGTCTTGTCTTGTTGTCTTGGGGCTTGTCCTGCTGTGTTTTCTGTTCCACATTTCAAAAAGAAAGAATAGGAAACCGGAGCCCATTAAAACACCTCCTGTTGTGTCGGTGCCATCTTGCCTCCCCTGCTCCCATTGTGTTTCTTAAATAAATCGGTAAAAAACAAATTGGGTGTTGGTGGCACAGAAATATTTTCAAACCATGGATGGTGGAATCTGTGGATACATAATCCATGGATACAGATGGCTGACTGTAAAAGTACTGTACATTACACAATATGTGATATTTTAAGGAAATAACAAGTTTGCTCATTACAGGATTTGTTTTATTTGATTTTTCTAAGGATATTATTTATGTAGGGATGGAAAGAATATTAAAATATTTGGAAAATGGTTTAAAAGGTTTGTGGAAATAGTTAATATTGAGGAACTTTGCTAAGAAGGAATTTGGATTGACAATGGATTATGATTTTAAACCTACATAATTTTTAAATAACTATTTTAGTAATTTGATGTCTTAATTGAATTGTTTTAAGTGCTATTATTATGTATTATTGCTGTTGGCATTGTTGAGTGCCTGTTTTGAAGCCACCTGAGGCCCCCTCCAGGTGAGAAGGATGGGATACAAATATGCAAAATAAATAAATAAATCTTCAGAATCCAAGAATTACTTGTATATAGTCATTTTGCATAGAGAACAGTATTTTTGCACATAAAATGATCTTTTTATGTAGAAATGTTATTTCCTATGCAGAAAGTGTTTCACGCACAGCAATCATTGCAACAGGGGAGCTAGTCTGTGCAAAATGTAGATGTTCTTGATGGGCGCAGGAAACCTATTTTTCTGTGGACATTTTATTTTCTGTACAGAAAAAAATGTTTCCTGCATAGAAAATGTTATTTTCTAATCAAAGCTGTCTATTCCTAGGTTTTGAATAGACTTTCAAAAACTGTGTGCAGAGAGAATTTTTTTTCAAAATGTTAAAGTTACCAATTACATCATTAGAGAAGAAGCTTGGGGAAGAATGTTTATATACTTCTGCTTGCTTCTGAGTAGTCTTTTAAAAAATTGAATACTTTGTATGGACTATTGTGGTCAGGTATTCCAACTATTCTAATAAATGGTGTAGTTAGCTAGGTCTTCCACTTCTGACTTCTCAACCTGAATGGATCAAGTTGTTGCATTCAGAAAATCAAGATATTCTAAGGTGACCAATGACATCAAATGTTCAAGCCATTGAACCTCTTAGCACATTAATCTACTCTGATGCCATGATATCATAATCATTATTTTTAGGCTAGGGCTGAATGAAATGTGCTAAATGATTACTTAATAACTATTTATGGGTTTTAAGGGGAAAAGAAGCTATTATTATATTAATCTCTAAGTTAAGGAATTGTTTGGCCCTAAAAACAGAACAGCACCATTGTGCTGAATTTTGGCTTAGTTTTCCATCATGTAATTCCTTGCCACCTGCCAGCTGTGTACCATTGGAATGTGTGCCCTGTTTGTTCTGCTAAGTTGGTCAACTGATTGCAATAGATAATATTTTCAGCTGGTTTTTATTCATGTTGCTGTTTTGTTGTATAATTCTGTTTTATATTAATGCAAACTGCATTTAAAAACTGGTAAATAAATAGAAATGATAAGAAATAATTAATACATTGCCATTTACTTATGGGGTAATCAATGGGTTATATAGGATACTATCTTATCGCTTATGGCAACATAGTTTATTTGGACAATCTCATTTATTGTTTCTGCATGATGAATATTGCTTGTAGACATCTTTGAAGACGATGGTCATTTAGTGTCTTTTACATGCAAATGACTTAGAAACACTTCCAGGGGGCAATTATGTTGTTAAATCAATTGCTAAAATGCAAAGTACATTCTCTCATTCTCATGAAGTTCTCTGAGGCTTCAAAGAGTTCATTTCCCTTTTATTTCTGTAAACATCCAGATTGTAGGAGTCTAAAAAAAGTAAATAATTTACTGGGAGGCTCTCCTATCTGACACTGCTCTTCCCATTTGATGGATGGTGCTTTCACAAGGGCCAATGTTTGTTGTGTAGAACAAAGAGAGCTTTGGGACATTAATCAATAGCTCCAGTTTCTTGTATACTCATTGGCAGAGGGAGGTTGATAAAATTGTGTAGAAGGACTTTTGGACTCATCTGGATAACACATAATGACTCGGATGCAGACAAGTCCATGTGTACATATAAAATACTGCACATGCAGTGTTGCTATGGTGGCTGTTTTTCTTTTTTTCTTTTAGCCCATTGCACTATGTAAGGTTCTCTGAACTATGTAGGAACTGGGAGCTGGTGAGGGTTGCTGCAGAAAGATAAAAACAGAGAATACAGATTACCGGTATATCTTACTTAACCAAGCCTCTAACAGTTAGGCTTCTTTTTACTAAGTATCCGTAGCCACCAATTTCCCTCTTTGCTCTTCTATTTAGCTAGATTTTACTAGCAAAAACAGTATTGGACAGAGGGTCAGAGAAACACAGACATTCAGTTTGGGGTTGCAGAAGCATGACTGCAACGAAGAATGCAATAAAGCATGGCTTGGGGAAGAATGGGATTCTGCTCTAGCCATGTGTGTCAGACTACATCAGACTTAATAAACAGCATTTACCTTTGAAATCCCTTACTGAGCATGTCAGAACAGAGAAAAAAAGGAGATCCGAGAAGCCTGTCACCCCAATTACCCAAGGATGTTTTTTTGAAAAACCCACTAATTTCATGGCATAGAAATCTATCCCACTTCTTTTATTATTATTTCTGCCTCTCATATACATTTTCTGTTAAAAGAGTAATGCTCAGGAACTCCTTAAATTGTTTAAAATTGGAACATCTGCATTCATTTTGTTTTTCTTTCTCTGAATCATTTAAACTATCCATCAGGAATAATTGAGAAATAGGGATGTAATTCTTAACTAGGTTCCTTGTCAAAGGCAGCAACCAGAATTTCAACAATTTTCTTCCAACTATGAAAAAGGTTTCGAAATCCATACCATTTTTGAAGGGTATTTATCATTTAGAATTGAATCTGCACAAAATCTGTGCATGGTTTTACACCCAAAACAAAACAAAAGTGTTTTCTATGCAGAAAATTTATTTATTTATTTATTTATTTGCCACACTTTTATCCTGCCCTTTTCAGCCAGAAGGCAACTCAGGGCGGCGTAGAAAGAAAAGAGCATTTTATACAGAGTAAGTCCCAAATTCCAAACTGGCTTTGATAATTGCCCGGTTTTTGAAGTCTTTCTTCAGAAGAAAGAACCTTGCTAAAATTACATGTTGCTTGCTTTGAGAATGGAATTAGTGAAGAAGTACACCCCTAGATTGAGATGAGATCCATGTTCTGGAACCTGGAATTCAAACCCATCTTTCTTTTAATACAAAATTGTGTTTTTAAAGGGTATAGTTTAAGTGATGTCCGATCTTGTACACAAGCTGGTCTTAATCTTGGTGCAAACATTGACGGAGTTTACATATCCCTTGGAATATCTGGTGGAGCTTGTAAAGCTCTTTTAAAGGAAATTGGAGGTAAGTAAATGACTACTGAGTAATTGAGTACAGTGACCCTTGATATCTGCTCAGTTTGATTCGCTCCATGGATAGCAAAATCCATGGATGCATAATAGTGTTGGATAGATTCATTCAGAAGAACCTGAAAGTCATAAAAAACTTCTGACTTTTGACTTTTGAAACAGTTTTGAACCATGCAGGAAAGGGGAGGGGGATCCAAATTTGAACCGCTAACCTTTTTTTTCTGGAAATATTCCATAATGTTCAGATGTCTCCCAAGGTATTTTAATTTTCGCAACCATTAAGCAACTTTGGTAAAGCCTAAAAAGTTTTAAAATCTCATGCTTTCCTTCGCCCAGCTATGCAAGGGAGGGATGAGGTGGGCATGGCTAAGAACAGCCATTGTTGTAGTTTGTGAAGGCCAGGCCCCCAATGGTAGAGATTGCAAAAGACCCTGCTGTTAAACTACATTTCCCACACTGCCCCACTGCTCATTAGCCAAAATGGCTGAAGGACCACTATAGCTGTCTGTAGCAGTCTTTGTCTAAATATAAAATAAACTGATTGAATCTACAAAGAGGTCTAAAGAAGGCAGCAAAGCAATAAGCAACTTTTGCAAAGCCAAGAGAACATATACTGCTTAAAAACCAGTCGTTTCACTTTGTCTTGATTGTCATGAACAAGATACTGGGGTAGCCAACCACAGCCATCCAGCACTTTACATCACTAAGTAATGATAAAATTAAATTATTGATTGCATCTGCAAAAAGGAATAAACGGATAGATGTGTCTTGAGGGTCTCCTCCAACTCAGTAGAGGAAGCAAATGCATGTCAGAAGAGTTTGGATGGTGCCTTTATGCCCAGAAGAAGGGGGTCAGTCTAGATGTCCCTTGATGGAGTCTGTACTATGATTTCTGTTCTCCACCAATTCAATGCAGTTTGTGCCACACGAACAAAGTTTCTAGAGTAGAATAACTACTTTCAAAGTAAAGACCACCCAATGAAACAGGAAATAACACTTTCAAACCAAGAACAGATTTTCTTTATTATTAAAAAATGTTTTTAATAAAAAAAATTAAAATTCACCAAAAAATCCATGGATAAGTTAAAGGTTATGAAATTTGGTGAACTAGCAGTGGGCCATGTTTTCTATCGCTGTAGCAAATGTCATCAGGATTGGTCTAAAAATGAGGGAGGGAGAATCCTCTGAAGTTTCCCCAGTGCTGGTGCTGTTTTTTTTCCTACTGCGCATGCATGTCTACCATTAACAAAGTGATTCGGAAGTTTCAGAAGTTTTGGAAAGTTTTGAATTTTTTAAAAAAATCGGAAGTTACTTTAGAATCAAACCACCAGTGCCCCCTACATCTGAAACATGTTTTGAACCAATTTTTTAAATCAACCAATCCTAATGCATAAGTCCTTTTATATACAGCACAGTAAAATTGTTTCTAAATTTATCAAGTTAACTTCTAGAAAATAAGAATAAACTGCTCTAAATAATGAACCACCTTAAATAAAAATGAGCTAAAGAGTATTCATTTCCATTTTCTCTTCCAAAATTTTCTGAACCTGCTATTAAGAATAAATAACATTTATATATTCCAGTTAACTCAAAGTATTGAAATATATTGTTTTTCCTTATCCCACCAGATATTATAACATAGGTCTTTCAGGAGCTGTCAGATTGAACACTTTCCCAGCCAGAGCTGGCTAAGACAGTCATGAGAGTGGGGCTAAAGAACTCAAGAATTACTACAATGATGCACAAAAAAAGTATCAATGTTGAGATTGTCCTGCTCAAAACTTCCGAAAGAGAGTGCTAAGGTTCAAGTTCACCCAATGATGAACTTCAACCTGGTTACCTGGTCAAATTGTTAAGTGAGGACTAGAAGAACGATTTCCCAGATTCCCCAAGCTACACAGTTACAGTTTTCAACTAGTATGTTAGCAGAAAGGTACCAATAACTAATTTGAATATATGTTGATAATCTTTCTCTAGATAACACTTTGGAAAATAAATTTGTGGAAGACTTTATTGCTCTTGTTCGTGGTGGTGCAAGTGAATATATAGCAACTCTTGCTTCCAAAGAACTGCCAACTCCAGAACTGATGCAAAAGTGGGGAGATGCAGTTCAATACAACCCTGAAATCATCCAGATGAAGGTGACTTTAAGCCCTAAAACTGCAAGAATAAATGAGGAATAAAACTTGTGAAAAAATTTTGAAGTTCAAAATTATTTTCAAAGTTTCACATAATATGTTGTACAAGATTTTTAGGCAGCAAAAAAGACCCCTCCTTTTACAAGCTAGTTGAAAGTGGAATGACACAATTGCTGGATCCTCTGAGTGTCATAAGTGGACATAAACTCCACTGATCTCTGTGCTACAGATTTGTGAACAAGGATATATTTGTATACTTCCTTGCACAATGATCCCACCCTATTCTGTCACTTAGTTGGTGTTAGTATAATCTATTTATGCCCCTCATGGCCAGTTAGAATTGGGAGAATGAGATTGTCTCTTCATTACCGGCTGAGAAAACATGGCCTAGGTTTCCCCCTTTCACCGATCCCTCTTGGCTCCCAGTTGGCCATAGGGGACTTACTTGCAGCAGCAGCTCAGTTGGCCATGTTGGGTAGAGACATGAAAAGAAGGCAGAAGTATGCATGACAGAGCACTATACATCACAAAGCCTATATAGACTCGTGGTCAATAAATTAAATTTCACATTGGTTTTTAAGACCTGAAATTTGTTCCACAATTTTGAAATAAAGTTCTTGCCCTAAAATTGTTAAGCATTCACTCCCCCAAGCTTCTTAGGGCCCTTCCACACAGCCCTATATCCCAGAATATCAAGACGGAAAATCCCACAATTTCTGCTTTGAACTGGTTTATCTGAGTCCACACTCAGATAGTGGAAGTGCCCTTAGAATTTGTTGTGAGGAGTGAGAAAGTGGAATTTCAGAAGGTAGTTTCACATATCTGATCTGCCCTATTCAGAAAACATTTCTGTATGGAATATATTACCATGTTTTACACTCTCTCCCCACCATAGGTAGAGCCACTTTATGAACTAATGACTACAACTACCTTTGCAAATGCAAATACACTGAAACAAAATATGAGACGTGCATTGGAGGAGTTTCAACAAGAGTCAAGTAGCTGTCACTGTACTCCTTGCCAGGGCAATGGGCGTCCTTTTCTAAAAGGTAAGATAGGAAAAAGCCAGAACTACTTAATGCCTTCATTGCTTCAGTCTTCTCACAAAAAGAAAGCTGTCCTCAACCTCAGCAACATGGAGTGGATGAAGGTTTAGGCAATACCCATCCCTGAATAGGGAAACACGTCATCCAGGAAAACCTGACCACTCTAAATTAATTCAAGTTCCCAGGGCCAGATCAACTACATCCAAGAGTATGGAAGAAATTAGCAGAAGTTATTTCAGAACCACTGGCAATTATCTTTGAGAGTTCTTAGAGAACAGGACAAGTCCCAGCAGATTGGAGGAGGGAAAATGTGGTCCCTATCTTCAAGAAGGGAAAAAAGGATGACCCAAACAATTACCATCCCTTCAGATTCACGTCGATACCAGGCAAGTTTCCAGAAAAGATCATTAAGAAAGTGGTCTGCAAACACTTAGAAATAAATGCGGTCATCGCTAATATTCAACATGGATTTATCAAAAACAAATCATGCCAGACTAATCTGATATCTTTTTTCAATAGAGTTACAAGCTGGATAGATGCAGGGAATGACATGGATGTAGCATGTCTGGATTTCAGTAAGGCCTTCAACAAGCCCCCCATGAACTCCTGGCAAACAAACTAGTCAAATGTGGGCTAGTCAAAGCTACAGTTAGGTGGATCTGTAACTGGTTAAGCGAATGAACCCAAAGGGTGCTCAGCAATTTTTCCTCTTCATCCTGGAAAAAAGGGACAAGTAGAGTGATGCAGGGTTCCATCCTGGGCCTGGTCCTGTTCAACATCTTTATTAATAATGACTTAGATGAAGGGTTAGAAGACATGATCATCAAGTTTGCAGATGACACCAAATTGAGAGGGATAGCTAATACCCCAGAAGATAGGAGCAGAATTCAAAACGATCTTAACAGATTAGAGAGATAGGCCAAAACCTACAAAATGAAGTTCAACAGGGACAAATGCAAGATACTCCACTTAGGCAGAAAAATTCAATGCAAAGATACAGAATGGGGGACTCCTGGCTCAACAGCAATACGTGTGAAAAAGATCTTGGAGTCCTGGTGGATAACAAGTTAAACATGAGCCAACAATGTTATGTGACGGCAAAAAAAAGCTAACAGAATTTTGGCCTGCATAAAGGAGTATAGTGTCTAGATCAGGGGTCCTCAAACTTTTTAAACAGAGGGCCAGGTCACAGTCCCTCAAACTGTTGGAGGGCCAGATTATAATTTGAAAAAAAATGAATGAATGTCTATGTACACTGCACATACCTTATTTGTAGTGCAAAAACACTTAAAAATACTAAAATAATTAAAATGAACAATTTAAACAAATATAAACTTATTAATATTTCAATGGAAAGTGTGAACCTGCTTTTGGCTGATGAGATAGGATTGTTGTTGTTGTGTGCTTTCAAGTCATTTCAGACTTAGGTTGACCCTGAGTGAGGGCCGGGTAAATGACCTTGGAGGGCTTTATCCGGCCCCCGGGCCTTAGTTTGAGGACCCCTGGTCTAGATCTAGGGAAGTATCTCCATTCTGCTTTGGCCAAACCACACCTGGAATACTGTGTCCAATTCTGGGCACTACAATTGAAGGAATATGTTGACAAGCTGGAATGCGTCCAGAGGAGAGCATGCTGAAATGATCAAGGGTCTGGAGACTTAGCCCTATGAGGAGTTGCTTAAAGAGCTGGGCATGTTTAGCCCACAGAAGAGAAGGCTGAGAGGAGATATGATGGCCATGTATAAATATGTGATGGGAGGTCATAGAGAGGAGGGAGCAAGCTTGTTTTCTGCTGCCCTGGAAACTAGGCACAGAACAATAGCTTCAAACGACAGGAAGGGAGATTCCACCCAAAAATTAGGCAGGACTTCCTAACTGTGAGAGCTGTTCAGCAGTGGAACTCTCTGCCCTGGAGTGTGATGGAGGCTCCTTCTTTGGAGGCTTTTAAACGGAGGCTGGATGGCCACCTGTCGGGGGTGCTCTGAATGCGATTTTCCTGCTTCTTGGCAGGGGGTTGGACTGCATGGCCCATGAGGTCTCTTCCAATTCTATGATTCTATGATTCTATGATTCTATCCTTTAACCTTCCTAGTCCAAATATGTCTGATCCCAAAGGTGACTGGGTTTCCCTGGCCCTTCTCTTTTTCTTTCCTTCGCACTAAATATTACAAAGAAAATATAGTAAGAGGGGATATTCACTGAGATGTTACTATTCTTTCATGGGCAGCACAGATAAGGGGCTTGCACCATTTTGGCAACTAGAATGTAATCTTAATCATTTACATTTAAGAAGGCTTTTCCAACTCAATTATGCATAAAACACAAAGTTGCAATCTGCTTCAAATCTCTTTCGGAAATAGCTTTGCTAAGCTGTGCGTGCTGACTAGCTCTCTGGCCATTAATTAGTGTTTCTCCCAGCTCTTGGAAGATGAAATGCCATCTGCAAGTGCTAAAGATTGTTATCATTATCATCACCCTAGATTCTACACTGGGCACTTTTCCCTGTCTCCATTTTGAGCTTATTTTGCTTTGAAGATGACACTGGCTTAACTGCATGAAGGGGAAGGAAGAGGAAAATGTTGTCTTCAGGGTGATAAAAATTTGTTGCTTTGACATATGAAGTTATCTTAAGGGCCAAAGCAGAATTTATCTGACCTGCTGCTAGTGTGTATCCAGGATCTTTTTTGTCAATTATAATTATACAAAAGGGACACAGGAAGAAGGAGACAATCCCCTTATCGTAAATGTTTGGCATAAGTAAGTGAGGCTTAGGTCTATGCTCCAGTATGTATTCCAAATCATCACAGAAAGAGGGACACACACACAAAGAAAAGGAAAGTATCACTGTAGAATGATACATTCATGTCAATATAATCTATGTTGGCCATAAGCAACTTCTAACATCTCAATGCAAAAGCATAAGAAGAGTTTTGTTTTATCCTGTGCACTATTTCCCATACAGCAAAGTGGAGCTTTTGGGTGTAAATGAGGAGAGGGTACTGTCCTTCTAAATGAGCATTCTTCCTCTCCAATGAAATTTCAGTTGCCAAATTTCTAGTGTTGCCAAGAATGAGATGCTGAAAATCACCCATACCCAAAGCTCACAATCTCAGTGTTCAAATTCTCTTGATAATTTTGTAGGCCCTTTTCTTTGGATGCTTAAATTTTATTTCTAAAGATTTAACTGGATTCTTAAGTTACTGGAATGCTCTGAATTATGTAATAAAGACAATTTTGCTTGAAAGAGCTGCTATTTTGAAATTAATGACCTCACCACCACCACTTCCATAGTTTGGTTTCTTCTGCACCCCATGAGCTTCAAGCAGCCCTCTATACAATACAACTGCTAAAGAGATGTTTTCCCACTCCTAGAACCAGTAATGGTGGTGGTTTTTCCAATGGGGATTGTAGACCCCAGGCCTTAAAATAGAAGTAGACACCTGATAATTTCTAGATTTCATATGCATCATATTGGAATGGCCATTTCCAAACCTGGCATGAGTTTAGAAGGTACTGGGAACAAATTTTTGGTCCTAAGCACCACCAAGGTCTTCCTTCTACTCAGACATGGGGAAAGTGCAGTTGTCAGGCAAGATGCGGCCCAGGACTGTTCAGATCCAAGGGAGACTATTTTCTCTACAGTATATAAGAAGTTGGGCCTAATGCGATCCTGAAAGGGTCAACATGTGGCAAAACCGCCCTCATGTTTCTGATGGAGAGAATGGGCAGCTATTTGGAAGCAATTTTTAAAAAATAGCAGTGGTGTGAGGAGGAGAGTGAGTTCCTACAAAGTGCCCTGGAATGCCAATTACTGCTAGCCCCCAACAAGTTCCAATTTGTGCTCTAACTGGCAGTAGCTTTCCAAAGTCTCAGGCAAAGATCTCTCACATGACCTACAAAGATTACTTAAAAATACCAGGAATGACTTGGACAGACCCCTTTGATGATCCTCATGATATGTGAGGCCCCATAATAGGGGATGGGAAATAAGCAGGTTTCATTTTTTTCTGCACTTTAGCTTCTTTTCCCATAATCTGGGTTATTTTTATCTGGTGAAGTTAGTAAAATTTAACTTTTGGCAATTTTTTCAAAGGGTTGTTAAACTCTTCCTCACTCCAGAATGGAGGGGACGATGTTATAACTGCTGCCATGTAGCTATTAATACAAAGAATATTGTACACTACAGGGATGGTAACCCAGATATCTCAGGAGTGTCCTGGCATTGTATCACTTGGGCACTCTTCTCCTGAGAGCAAATGAAAGACTTTGAGGTTGTCTTAAAAGCGTGTTTATATCTATTTTCCTCTTAAATTTCAACACTAACACAAATAGCCAATTCCAGATTCCTAAGTCTGAAGCACTAAAGCCTTTTTTCAGACCATATGGTAGAAAGCTTAAAAGTTGGGTAAAACTCCTGAGAGGGTCTGCCTAACCAGTGCTACTTGATGTCATTCCATTGTTTGAGGATCAATAAATTATCATTGAGGATCTCAAAGATGACATAATGCTGGAATGTTAGCATTAGAAATCTTTGAGTGAGTTTACCTTTTCAGAATTCCATAATCCTAAATATTCCAAACTCCAAAATTATTCACATAATTGGCTAAGGTAGTGACACTTTTGCTTTCTGATAATTCAGTGGACAAAAACTTGGGGTTTCATGCATTATTAAAGCACTGTGTAGAAAATTACATTCAGGCTATTTTATATGGTTGGATTGAAGCATAAGTGAAATTCATGTCTAAACTTGAGTCCCATCTACAAGAGAACTCATTATGTATGTATATACAAATACAACTATTTCAAAATCTTTTTTAAAAAATCCAAGGTACTTCTAGTATTTTAGATAAGGAATGTTTAACTTGTACCTACTGTGATTGCAATTTGGAACAGGAGAAAAAATGGACCTTGAGGTGTTGTTGACTGTCTATTGTGCCTTTCAGGGACACATTGTGAGTGTATTTGCCCATTAGGACATCGCGGTCTTGCCTGTGAAGAGACACTGAGAACTGGTAAGATAAATTCTTAAAACAAATTCTAGTAAAATAAAATTAATGCTGTGCACTGATAATCCTTCTGTGCATCTTGAAAAAAATACTTTCTTAAGCCACAAGTGTTTTCCAAAATGGACTTTTTGGTAGGCAAAAGCTTTATTGGTTTGCACAGACAGTGCGTTCTACTAGAACTTTATATTCCTAATCTGCATTTATCTACATAAAACATGGTCTTAGTTTAGAGCAGTAATGAGCAGATCTCCAATTTAAGGCCACATTGCCACCATCTCATCCCGTTGGGACCCCCTCCCTTTACTCATACTCTCTCTCACACACAAATACATTGTGGGGAATTGAGTCTTTTTCCGAGGGTTTGACTGCTCTATTTAAGGTAGTGTCCCTAATTTCAGCACTAGTTTCATGAGTAATAAAGAATCTGGAAGTCGATATGCTAAAATAGGTCTATGGACCCTAGGCTGCAATTGCCCATCTCTGGTTTATGGGAATTTGCTCTATAATAAAATATTTTGTAGTGCTTTATCAAGTGATAAAAGTCAGTTCTTTCTCTCAAACAGGATCTAACATTCTCTCATTTTTCAAGAATATTCAAATGATCATGTCTCACCTTAGCCTTATTCATGACAAGCCGTTCTTGAAAATATGAGTCCATACTATGAATCATTCTATTACCATATATTCCGGCATATAAGATGACTGGGCGTACAAGACGGCCCCCAACTTTTCCAGTCAAAATATAGATTTTGGGATATACTCACTGTATAAGACTACCCCTCTTCCAACACACACCAAATAAAATTTTAAAAGTGTCCGATTTTATTTCAATATGGTAATTTTCCTATTACTGTACCTCCCTCTCTGCCTCTCAGATCTCGCACATGCGCACCTGCACCACTTCGCTGTAGTCTTCAGGAGCGAGATCTGAGAGCCAGAGGAGGAGGTACGCTAATAGGATACAAGGGCGGGCCAGACAGGTAAAAGAGTTGTGTTTTTCTGGGCCCAGAGCCATTCTATCTCTTTTTTCCATACCCCAGGCATCCCAGACACCTGCAGCTTCCTCCACCATTCATTTACACCTTCCCGGTGAGGCGCCCCTTCACCTCACCATCAGGACCACATTAAGTCCACCAATCCTGATGAATGGATTTTCTTCTACCATACTTGTACAGTGTTGCCCCTAATGCTTTTATACAGTCGCTGCATATGGCAGGGACATGGCCACTGCCATTTTTGAGCTCCCCCCACAATATGCAGCAACTACAGATTCTCCAATCCGGATTGGAAGGTTCAGCACCCACTCTATAAGACGACTCCCGTCGAATAAGACTACTCCCGCATATAAGACGACTCCAATGCATAAGGCTACTCCAGTGTATAAGACGATCCCCATGTATAAGACTACTCCTGTGTATAAGACGACCCCAGACTTTTGAGATTTTCTTGGGTTAGAAAGTAGTCTTATACGCCAGAATATACGGTATATTATGGACAAAATGTTATTTATTTTTACAGCACTTTGTTAATCTGTGTGAAAATAGTCCAATAAGTTAGGATTGGCCCTGGACCATAATCTGATTTATTTATCCATTGGTATGTAATCCTGATTTTATTTCTCGCTATTACAGGAACTGCTATTGATGGAAACTGGAGCTGTTGGTCCAGCTGGTCTCCAGGTTCTGGAGGAAAACAGACAAGAACTCGGGAATGTAACAATCCGCCTGCTCAAAATGGTGGCAAGCAATGCCCTGGGCTAAATATTGAAAGCATTTAGTCAAATGTTTAAAAGAAAAATCAACTGGATTGTTTTTAGAATATCATAGAAGTCACAAAACAGGGATAGATAGCTGTGGATTGGGGACTTTCAATTTCTACTTCTGAAACCCTTTGGGGGCAGCTTAGACACACAGATTAAAACCAAAAATACCTGAAATAATATGAAATAATGTGAGGGAGACTGTAACCTATTAAATATACGAAATAATGGGAGGGAGACTGTAACCTATTAAACATGTGAATTGCCATATTTTAGATTTATCCTATTTTACATCCAGAAAAAAAAAGTTCGCATTTTGCATTCCATCCCTGGAGAAAAGTGAAATATAAAATCTATCTATCATTAAAGAGCTACTTGGGAATTTTAGAGAGGGGTAAGGGTTTAAAAACAACTTAGTGGTCACATCATGAGTCAGGCTTTTCAGCTCTGTCATTGAGCTATTATTCCAATAGAATATCCCTCATATGTGACAACACTCTCACCAGAACTGCATTAACCAGATATGATTGAACCTGTAATCCAATGCATCTGCATAGTAGTAAGTTAGGAAAAGGTGCCATATTAACTAATTCTAAAAAAAAAAAAGTCCCCATGTTATTTAGATAATCAGCAGATGCTGTAGACACCTATGACAAAATCTTGAAACTCTCGGGGACCTCCAATACTGTCCAGATAATGCATCTCGGAGCCAACCCAAGGCTGCAGTAGCCACCAAATGCACACCATCAATGTGAGCTACATCATAGATTCAATGGGAAGTAGATCCTTTGCTGGAGCAAGGAAGTCTGGTTTGAGCCATATAATGTTCTGCAGTTGATCCAAATACATCCCAGCTCTAGGGTGAAATCAGCTCTGCAAAATGCAGAGGACATTGTAGACACCCACCCTTTCCAAAGTGCAAGAAATAATCCGGAAAGGGGTTGCCAAAAACTGGGAACCAAGGTGCTAATCCATTCTGTGGAAGGGGAAAATGATTTTACAGGGTCCCAGGTTTCCCAAAGAGATGTGCATCAGTGAGCTTGGAGGAAAATGGGGTTAAAAAAAGGAAAGTGGCAGAATATCAGTTTGAGGCCAGGTTTCATGGTTAATGCAATCACCATCCTAACCTCAAACCCGTTCCAGGCCTGTCAATCTAATCACCCACCTAGCAAAACTGGTTCCTCTCAAACCAGCTCCAGGATGGATTATAGTGTCAGTATAGAAGTGCCCTCACTCATGGAGGATCTGGTATGTTTATGGGTATCTTTTATTCATTTAAGGAGAGGTTCACTTCGGTTCTGCTGTTATGTTGAATGAGTTGTATTGCTGCCCTCTTGTGTATGAAAATTGTGAGAGGCTCTGTTTAAAGAAGACCCTTTTCTATATGTAGGTCTGCAGATCATACACAAAGTATAATCAACAGATATTTATTCCAACTATATAGCAAACGTATTGCAATATCTGTCACAAAGCTGTTGTGGATTCACATACACATTTTGTAATATGAAAAGGTCATCATTTGTAATTCTGCTATTTTTAAAAGTTTACCTTTTCCAGGCAGTCAAACAAAGCAAAATCTAGTTCATTATTTGTCTAAATTTCAACCTGCTATTTTGAATAAATGTCTAAAAATATAGTCATGTCTATTTTTAATAGTCACTGGAGAGTGCTTTAACATGCATACATGGGATAAATGAAAATGTAAATCTCAGACATAGCTGCTTCCTCAAATCAGAAGCCTGAATCCAATGTGGTGATGCTCTATGTGGTTGCACATTTATTGCACTGAATGGAAATTGTTTAATAATTAGATATTGCTTAAAGGGGAAACACTGAATTGCGAAGTGCTCTCAGATACCTCTGTGACGCTCAATAATTTCAAAGCTATGCCATAATGTTATGCTTATTCATTGGATGATCCCCCCTGGAGATGACTCAACAGAAGAAATACATTCAAAACCACCCTAGTACTTATTGCAAAATTGAAAGAAAGAAAAATAAACTCATAATGTTCATGAATAAATGCTCTTCATCTGTGCCTATGAAAATAACTATTAAATTTTACATTGATAAGAGATATCTTGGCTCTGGTGTTATTTAATCAGGGCCATTTGCAGTGGAGAATAAGGCTCCCAACCTACACTGCCATATAAAATCCATATTATCTGGTTTGAACTGGATTATGCTAGTATACACTGCTATATAATCCAGTTCAAACCAGATGATCTGGATATTATATGGCAGCGAAGTTAGACCTAAGGCTCAAGTTTTCATACTTTTGAAGAGGGAATGTTGAACTTGGTAATGTTACTTTGAGGGACTCCAGTTCTTCCAACTGGCATGGTTAATGAAAAAATTGTGAATTTGTCTGGGATCTGATCAAAAAGGTTGTGACAACATTATCATTCCTGCTTTTATTTTGGTGAGCATATTCCTGTTTCTCTACAGAAAAAAAAGAAAAAACTCAGTCTTAATTAACAAGGGCTTAATTAATAAGTAACTCTTGGAAGCTAACAGTTGACTTGTCTTTTGTCTATGCAACCTAGATGAGCCTATTAGAAATAATTCCAATTTTGTGGCACCTGGAAGAAAAATAATTTTAAAAATTATATATATTCATGGACTATGCAATACCTTAATTTTTTATAGAGAATATACTGCAAGTCACTTCTGGTGTGAGAGAATTGGCAGTCTGCAAAGACATTGCCCAGGGGATGCCCGGATGTGTTAACATCCTGTGGGAGGCTTCTCTCTTGTCCCCACATGGGAAGGTGGGGCTGACAGATGAGAGCTCATCCCATCTCGCGGATTCAAACCACCGACCTTCAGGTCTTCTGGTCAGCAGTTCAGCTGGCACAACGGTTTAACCCATTGCACCACAGCTTAATTAATGCTATAGAACAGCTCATGATAAAACCCACATGCTATTCTTTAGGGCATCACAAGGTTACTGACTAGAACCAGCTTCTGTTTTGAAATGGTGATATTCTGTGCCAGATCTAAATAAAAAGCAAGATTTTAAAAGATGATCTTCTTGCTTTGGTTTGTTTTTAGCTTTTTGCAGCCAAAAAACAAAGTAAGAAAACAAAGAAGCATTACAAATAGAAAATAAGATCTTCTGGAATCCCATCAAATTCTGTAAATGGGGCAAGGTGATTCGATAATAAAACCTTTGTTCCGGATTTTTCAGTACTGGGTTATTTTTGCAATAGTTTTCCGTGTGCTTTTTTCACCAACCTAGTTGTGTTTCTATTAATACATTTTAAAAGTTGTTAGAGCTCTTGGGTGGAGAAGAGTAAGTTCTCTTATGTAAATTCTACTGGTTTTCCTAATTATAAATATGAAACAAAGCTGCTGAGAGGCTAGGAGTTGACACAGTGTCTATCAATTTCATCTGATGTTTGCAACACACACTGTATCATAATGCTGAATGGCTGGCTGAACAAAAATAAATCAGGACTCATGACAGCATGGCAGGACTGGGGAGTTCAGGATGGAATGAGTTGAGCTTAGAGACTTCTCTGAAAACCAGTAAAGCATTTATTTCATTTATCACAGGCCAACTATTCCAGCCTTCTCAGACACCTCCTAAGAAACCTGGACTGGACTTTCTACAATTGGTCCAGGATTTTCTAACAAATCTGGGCTGTATCAAGGAATGGATTTATTGCAAATATTACAGCACTGTATTGGTTCATTAAACTCTGCAGCCAGCACTTGATAGCTGTGTTACTAAAAGACATTCACTTCGTTTCTAGTTCCCAGTGACTCCTATCATTCAGAAGAACACCAAATGCATTCCTACTGTGGGCCCTTGTGGAATTTGGTTCCAGGGCCCCTTGTGGATACCAGAATCTACAGATGCTCAAATCCCATTATAAAAATATGACACAGTAAAATGGTGTCTCTTACATAAAATGACAAAATCCAGGTTTACTTTTGAGATTATATATATATTTTAAAGTTTCAAGCCCTGGATAGCGGAATCTATGGATACATAATCCATGTACACAGAGGACCAACTGTAATATATACAACGAGTGCAGATCTAGGCCTTCACAATGCTCCACCCAGTAGGACTAAATAAAGGATGCATCATGGCATGACTTTATACATCACTGTTGTCTTACATTTTGTAGCACATTAGCCATGTTGGCAGTGAAGATTCATCAGTCCTCCAGATGTTGGATTATTTTTCTCAACATCCTTTCATCTAAACTAAGGTGGCTAAGATTGAGAGGAATTGTAGTTCGGTGACAATTCATATCCTTGATCTATACAAGTGAGAATGGACCCTGAAACGTTTATTCATACTTTAAGGGTGCACCATAGAATTAATGCAATTTGACACCACATTCAATGTCATAACTCAATGCTATGTAATATTAAAAACTCTGGTTTCATCAGGTCTTTAGTCTTCTCTGCCAAATAATGCTTATGATTTGCCAAACTGCAAATTCCAGGATTCTGTAGCACTGAGCCATCACATCTAATGTGGGTCAAACAGTGTTAATTCTACAGTATAGATATATCCCAGGATAGCTTCACTGTCACTCCCAATGCCAACATTCCTAGTTATCTCCCTCCCCATGATCATTTTATCACTATAGGGCAGGAATGCCAAACTCATTTTCACCAAGTCACACCAGCCTAATGTTTGCCTTCAAAAGAACAGTTGTAATTGTAAGACTGTATAAATGTAACTATTTTGTCCCAACATTGAAAATATCACAGTCCACAAAAAATTGATATGACAGGCCAAATTCAGCCCATGGACCTTGCATTTGACATGTGTGCTATAGGGGACCAACTTTTGGCCAAGGGAGATTTAGGCCGCTTCCATAAAGCCAATTTGAATCAGAATGTGGACTATAAAGATCCAGTTTGCTTCAGAGTGCCTACACAGGCACCCCAAGAACTGACTGGAAGATGAAAGAGAGTCCACATATCCACTGGATATTAGGCCTGGGTAACAACGGAAAAATTTGTTTCTAAAATCGATTTGTATTTGGGGGGTTTTTTTGTTTCGATATTTAAAATAATTACAAAATTTTCCTTTTAAAAAGTTCGATATTTACGAAATTTCGTAAATGGTAAAAAATTAACGAATCGATTTCCGAAACAATAACGAATCGATTCGTTAATGGCGGACGCAACCGCGAAATACGCTAAAAAACCTCCAAAACCTTCTGAAGCTTCCCTCTCCCTCTGTTGTTGACTGTTGGTGTGATATTATAATTTTTTTTCACTAACTAAACCATAAAACTGGCCCAGACATGCGGAAATAATAACGAAACGACCTCAAAACAATAACGAAACGAATACAATATCGAAATACGAAGCATTTACAAAACGTTTTTGAAAATTCATTTTTTTTAATAATTGCTCCAGAATGGTTCGTTATTGTTTTGTAATTGAAAAAATTAACGAATTATTAACGAATTACGAATTAATGAAACGAAACCGCCCAGCCCTACTGGATATCTATAATCTACATTCTGATCTGGATTATTTGATCATGTGGAACCAGCCTCAATCAAATCCCAGGATTTTCCTCCTTGCTTCCTGGCTGGGACAGCCAGCTTTCCCGGTGCTTGCTTTACAGCAAGGCAAGACAGTAAATTTCCATCCAATCCACCTTGTTGAACATTATACATTTTCATCCACCTCGCTGAACCATTTTAATCAGCCCATATTTTGGCCTTCCCCCCTTAGTTCTTTTATCGTTTGATGCTTGTCTATTATTGTTATGCTTTTAAATTGCATTTTGTTATTGCTCTGCTTTTAATT